ATTTTTTGTTGACTTGGTAGGCAGGAGGCTAACTAGTGTTGTTGTGCCAAGACTGTTAATTGCTTCATTTTACAGAATTTTGAGTAGGGGGACCCACTCTCTGCTTAGATACTGTTATCGATGGAAACTATATGAGCTTCCAAGTCAAACCAGTCAGTCCCTTAATGAAAATTCATGTTAAAATCCTACTGAGTTTTCTCAGATACAAATCTGAATGCTAATGTAGGTTATGCTCCCTTCACTTCTCTCCCATTTTAAGTCTAAGGGCAAACTTTCAACCTGCTGCAGGCCTTATTATCATGTTTCAGAAAAGATACTTAGAAAAATAAATAGGCAGGCCTGGAGTTCTGAGATTTTCCTTAATGGTATTGTTGCTATAGTTACAGTTGAAATGTTATATAAAGCAAATTGCTTATTGATGGAAAAATGCTGAGTAGCTCAGCAGCATCCCTTTCTGGGTTTTATTGCCTTCATTTCTTACTCTTGTCTTAAGATTAACAGATTTTTTGGAGCATTGTTTCCTTTTGAGCAAACCCTGATGATTTGTGGTAGAAATAAGTGTGTTTTATTAATATGTACTAGCTGATAATTGAATATACTACTATACTGTGATCATCGTGGAGTTGTTCTTTATACCTTGTTTGTTCATCAGAATTTTCCCTTCTTGGAGATGAATTTTGATATCCTGGTTGTTCATGGTAAAGCACAGAATACAAGTAGTATAGATTCTTCTGAATATATCTAATACATTTAATAATATAGATGAAATATAAGCTTTTGTTATGTTTTATAGCATTGGAAGATACTGATAGTATATTGAAAATGAAAGATATTTTTAAGACAAAAAACTAGTGGAAATGGTCTGAGATCATCCACAGTGATGATTAGTATGTTAAAAAAAACCTCGATGAGCATCTATCTATATATTGTATTTTGCTTATAGTAAACTCAGTAATATAGTGGAAATGTCTTCAGTTTTATATATATATATATATATATATACAAACACATATTAACAAATATAATTGTATAGTATAATTATATAACTATATATTCATTTTCTGATTATCTCAATGACTATATCTATAAGGAAATACATCAAAGACAAAACCATAACTCATTTGATATTTAACCTTAAGGCAAAAATGAATATAATAGGCATGTATGTCACAATTGTAATTATTACAAAAAGAGTTAATGCTCTGTCTGATAAAATCTTTTCAGCTAGTATAAGTTATATATGGTAGTGATACACATTGAATTTTTACATAAGTTAAGGAATCTTGCTTTATTTATTTTTAGGTTGCTAGTAGATTAGAAAAATTATGAGTATTTAATGGCTATTTATGGCTATTGAGGAACTAAGAATGAAGATAACACTTTCTGGACCTAGAAATATCATACTCCTTAATTAAATTTCTGAATATTGTGATACAAAAATTCTTTGTGATTACATTGGTAAAAGAAAGAAAAAAACAACTAACCACAGCTTTTTATACCTTCTTATGTGGCTATGGAATATTTCCCAAATTGTTTTTTAAGAATTTTTTATTAGAAACTATGTTTATATTTAATGATGATACAATAATGAGATCCAAAATGAACTTTCTTGAAAATTCATTTTTACTTTTTTACTTACTCATTGTCAATATTTGATTAGTTTTTCTTTTCTCATTTTTACTTGTGATTTTACCATAACATCTGCCTTTTCCTATTCTTTCTTTTAACAAAATTTAAACTTAGGTATTTCAAAGAAATACAAAAATTTTTATATTACTCTAAGGTCTCCCCCCCACCTTCAGTTCCTTATTGGCATTATAACTTCATCTGCTTCCTGAATTTGTTGGCATTCTAATTTTGGTTCTAGAGCTGGAGAAAGAAGAGACACACATACAAGACCACCAGCTCAGCCTTTGTAATTGCCTGGTGAAAAAATGCTCTGATGTCTCACATAGTTTATCAAATTACTTACATTCTAAACAGAGTCATCAGACAATCCTGTTAAATCTGTCACATCTTTAACATTTCCCTGATACATTTTTTTTACTGCCTGTCTTGCTTACATTGACCCATGTCTTACTCCTGCTACTTGAATGTGAGCTCCCTGATGAAATAAGCCTTGCACACACACTTTCTAAGCAGTATATATACTCCATAGATACAAATGGCAAGATATGTACAGAATAGATGCATAACTGAATTATGTTGTCATCATTATTTAACATAACAGTAACATCAGTTTCCAAACTAATTTTGGTGACAATTGGTCAAAGAGTAAAGTCCAAAGAATTAGGTTTGGCCTTAAAATCTTACTCAAAATCAAATCACTCATGCAACTGAGAGACCAAGCATAACAATATTATGTTGAAAATAATTACCAGATAGCAATGATTAAAAATGTTAGGTGAACTGAGTATGGATGGGAATTCGAGCAAAACATGAATTTGAATTAGCCTATAAGGTTCTCAGGATGTGATCTTTTTTTCTCTTAGACTGACACTATTGCCTTCTCTTTGCCTTGCAGATCTTAGTAGTTGTATGGGTTATCACTGCTTGTCAGTTTATCAACATTGTTTCAAGTCAGGAAAATGAAGTGTTTTATGTGATATAATAGATTAAATAGATAATACCTTTTATGCTTTTACCTAAATTTGAAATGTATTAAAGTCATGAGTATACCACCTTGAAATAGTCACTATGTTTATTTTCTCAGCACATTTTCCTTCTAACAAGAGCAGTGTACCATTGTGGTATTATTATGTTTTCAGTACTAAGGATGACAACTTTGTAAGAACAAGTTGTCCCAAGAACTCAGCTAAATAATCACACTTTTATAAATGACAAGAGTATGTAATCATATGGAACCTGTATTCCTGGTATATTAAAAACTTCCTAAATTATTTACATTAGGATGTGCTGTGATGTGAATATTTAACACATGCCTGTATTTGGTTTTTATAATCCATGTGACAAAACAGCACAGTGGTGCAGCTATTTGTGTCTGGTTTTATTTTTTAAAATGTCAGATTTGAATGAAAGTATCCTAAGACTCGATCAATAAGGTAATGGTTTTTAAAACCTCAGCACCAATTAAGATTGATTTTCTATAGATATTATGGAAGTGCCCTTCCAGGGACTACTCAACACAAGGGCTGGAGCTTTTAGTATTTGTCATAAGGGATCAAATCAATTTCTTCCCTAAGACTTTTTTTTTTTGCTATCAATAATCTACAATTACATGAGGAACATTATGTTTACTAGACTCCCCCCATCACCAAGTCCCCCCCAACATACCCCATTACAGTCAGTGTCCATCAGCCTAGTAAGATGCTATAGAGTCACTACTTGTCTTTTCTGTGTTGTACAACCCTCCCTGTGCCCACCCCCCCTACATTATGTCTGCTAATAGTAATGCCCCTTTTTTTTCCCCCGCCTATCCCTCCCTTCCCACCCATCCTCCCCAGTCCCTTTCCCTTTGGTAACTGTTAGTCCATTCTTTTCTAAGACTTTTATGTAAAGATACTATATAAAGAAGCTGCACCTCACTTTAGAGCTGCTTAGATATGGAATTAAGAAGGAAATTGGTATTGGAATATCATTCCCACAAAGAGCAAATGAGCCTGTAATACACATTAATGTTTTATAGACAGCGTTTTACTGAAGGTAAGTAGTTGACTTTTGTCTTTACTCTTAGATCAAAAAATAAGAATTATAATGACTTACAGATTGCAAAACAAACATTATTTTAAGCAGCTTTTTAGATCTCTGATAATATTCTGGAGTGATTTCGGTAACTGATTTTGTCTCTAATTTAAGTTATGCAACTGATGTTCCAGTATGAAAAGAAAATTGAAACTGAACTTCTTAGAAGACAATGCAACATATGAATGCAATACCATTTATATGACTCTCTCAATGGTGTGCTTTAAAATAGAATAGGTACTCATTGACTGGCAACGATTAGGAGCTCCATGTAGGGCCTTTATTTTTTATATTATACTAGGTATAATGTAAGAAAAGCACAACGTACATCAATAAGGGAGGAACCATACAGAAGTACTAGACTAACATAAACTCTATTCCATGAAATCATTTGTATGTGTCAGGAGAGAGTAATTCTCATTCTTTAGTTGGCAAAAGAATTAACCAACAGTTTACTTTAGGCAGATCCTCCTCCTCCTACCCCAGGTTCCTGCTAAAAGAATTTTCATATAGTGTCTAGTAATTTGCATGCCTAAGGACCACCTCAGTAGATTTGGTTCAGATGGCCCAAGGATTACACAGAGAAGCAGTGATTCACGGAACTGTTTTAGCCGACAATTCAGAAAACTCTAGGCAAAAAGTTACCAAACAATTTGATCCTGTGACTGTATCTTGCTAACTTCATGAGAAATGTGAATATTATTAAAAATGAAATTATCTTTTAATCCTAAAGCAGATAAAGAATAATGTACAAGTGATTCTTGAAAACTCTATGTGTACCCTGTAAATTTCTACCAGGATATATACAACTACATTTGATCTAAGTCAAGAATAGGAGATTATAGGCTAAATCCTAGAAGAACTTTTGATTAATTGGTAGTTGAAAGAAAATTACTATGAAATCTGATAGTTTTTGAATAAACGTGTGATGGAAATAATAATTTTGAAGGCATCAACCATAGAAGTTGTTCCATTTGGAATAAATGTAGATTTTTCACCAAAAAAATTGATACTCTGTTGAACCCATCTTAACACTATTTTTTTTTCCTTTTTATAGTGAGGAGCATAAATTTCTAAACTCTAGGGATTCCTCATATTTTTAGATTTCAAATAATCTTGTTGTAATCTTCAAAAGTCACAATTTCATTGATTTAGAAAACAATGACCTACCTTGTCCATATACAAAAAAACAACTATAAATTTCCAGACATTAACTTTGGTAAATCACTGGAAATTATATTATATGCATTACATACATTATAATATGGTTAATCTGTTCATTGCTGTTTTATTTGCAGATTCAAGAATGGCTTTGTTTAAATTGCCAAACCCAGAGAGCAATATCAGGACAGCTTGGGGACTTAGGCAAAATGCCACCTACACAGTTGGGACCAAAAGCCTCTCCTCTGCCTGTCCCTACAGAGCAGCCATCTCAGAAAACAGCAACAGCTGCCCAAGCAAACGTGAAAAAGAAGGAACAAGAAGTAAAATCAGACGCTGAAAAAGTCATTCCAGAAAAAGTAAAAGAAATACCATCAATTGAAAAAATTACTCCTAAGGTAACCACAGATCAAAAACAAGAAGAAGGTAAACCAGAGAAAGACAAAACTTCAGCCCCTCAAGAAAAAAAGTCACTCCCTGAAGACAAAAAGCCACCCCCAGGAGCAAAAACATCAGCTTTAGAGGAGGACCAGAAACATGTCTTACCCCAAACTGAAGTACAGATTCTTGAAGAAAAACCTGAAGCCAGAGTGGCTGCGCAGGCAGGGCAAGAAGAGAAAAGACCCCAGACTGAGACAGAAGATAAGCCCTGTGCAGCAGCTCAGAGTCGACCTCAGAAAGGTGATTCCACCACCCCCAAAATAAAAGAGCCACAGGCAGCAAGCAGGGCAAAGCCTGATGGAGGGGAACCTGGGAAAGAAAAGACAGTAAGTTATGTTTTCCTAACTTTGCAGTCTTTCTTGTGTAAATGACTGATCTTTACCCAAGTAGTCAGAGTGCTTAATGGTAATTATGTAAGTGAAAGCCTTCCATTAAAGGCATTTGCAGAACAGCTTAACAATTTGCTGAAATGGAGAATGTTGGCTTTTTGACAGCTTAATTTAACTTAAAGCATAGATACCAAATTTATTTTTCTAGCTCTTATGACTATCAATTTATCAAAACCTTGTAGTGATAAGGCAGAACTTCATACAATTTCAAGTTCCTCCTTTTTCTCTCCACTATGAACCTAAAATTAGTATACCCCTTGAACATAAACTAAGGTGTCTTAAGTTTCTCTTCAGTCAGCCATTTGATTAAGCAAGAGTCAACAAGTTTCTTCTCACCTGAAAATCTTTTAAGGTGTGGTCAGCCATTAAATAACTAAATAATTGATATTACAAAAGAAAACAAAAATGAATTGCTGAAATTCAGTACAAAAGTCATTTTTGAAGGTTTATTTAGTATTTAGCATGATGTTATTGTAAGGTATTTTGTTCAGAGTTTTTGTTCAGTGTGCTTAATATTTGTTCAATGTGTTTAATTATGAAGCATAATCTAGAATAATATATATTCTTTTCTTTTTCTTTACTGGAAACATTTAAAAGTACCCCATCTTAATCTGTATTTGTACAAGCAGTAATATTATTTTTAGGGAACTCTGATTTTTTAGAGCTACAAGAGATCTTCTATCATTTCTGCTTGGAAAATTTTAATTCACAGATAGCCGCAGTGACTTACTGCGATTAAGGAAAATTAAATGATATGCTACTATTAAAACTTAGTATTGAAACTCTAATTTGAACCCACAGTCCATCCCTACTCTGGTTCAATTTTTTGTTTTTGTTTTTTTTACAGTTTTAACACAGGATTGCTAACCCATCTGGTATATGATGTATCACTCATTAAGTAATTCCTGGTCTTCCTTCATTATGTAAATAAATTTATCAGAGTCAGAGGAAGCAGCTGACTATATATTCTGGATTCTAATGGTTAGATCTAGCTACCACCGCCACACCTCCCATTGCTTCTCTTAGCTAACCATTTTGCAGAAGTTGAAGCTTTTTACCATTTCTCCCTTTGTGAAACTTTCTTTGGCTTTCATGACCCTTCCCTTCTTGTTCTCTTTGCCTTCTGTATCACCCCTTATGAGTTCTATTCTGTATCTATAGTTTTCTCTTCCCTATCCTCCATATGATAAGGTCTTCCTTTTTTTCTTTGAGTTCCATTTTCTTACCTCTTAGGGGAGCCACATGAACAATTCCTAAAGCCACCTGTGCACTTTCTGCCCCTCTTTTGCATGTCAGACCTGCATTTTCAAATACTCAGCAAATCATTCCATTTCAGAACCTCACTGAACTGGAACTCAGTACAGTTAAATCTTACCCACACTCCATAGAAGCAGTTTCCACCTCTGACTTTCTGTTTCTGATAATGGCACCATTGTTCACCTTGTCTGTGGCCTCCCAGTCACTAATCTGAGTAAGCTGAGACTTCTGGCCCACACTTTTTTCACCACATGCAATCTGTCATACTCCAGTCTATCAGCTGCTATTCCCAAGGACACTATCCTACTTACAGCCCTCATGGCCTCTCACCAATGATTTGAGTAGTCTAAGCACCAATTTCTATACCTAGTTCTGCTGTCTCCAGTATATAAGTTTCAGATAATTATTTTCCAGAGTTCAGATAATTTAACACTATCATTCAAATATTTCTAATGATTGTCTATTGTTTGTAAAACATAGTCTAAACAAGACGTATCCAAATTATTTTGTTAATGCACATTTTATTTTGTACCCTTATCCTTTCTATCTTTTCCTTTCATCACTACTTTCTTTTATAATCTCAGATACACATCCTTATTTATTTCTAAATTAAATGTATGCACTGTTGCTAATACATTATTTATGATATAAGATATTCACAAAATTATAAAAGCCAGTGAAATAAACTAAAATTACCATTTTATTATATTTATTTAAATGTGCTCACAATATATGATTAATGATAGTATTTTAGAGAGAGCATTGATTGTGGTTCAGTAGTTTTCAAAACTTTGGTCTGAAATTTTATGATAGTTATTTGAAAGTCAGCTTCTAAGTTAAGCTTATTTTGATATTTTGAGATTAACTTTTAATACTATCCTTAACAATAAAAAATTCACAGTGACATACCAGAAGTGAAAGAGGTAGATCCAAGATTGTACTTGCCAAATCTTGCTACTTGTTTTCTAAGTCAGGAATTGAAAACAAAATTTTTTAATTGTGGAAATTCCACAAATAAATGTTGATCTTCTCTGATATCAATCATTTATTCTTGCTAATTTTTAATTTTTTTTTCAACAAATGGCTTAAAAACCCACTGGAGTTCTTCATCTGGAAGATTTATAAACAGATTAAAGTATTTTGTTTAAAGTTTGTTAAATGAGCAGATATGACAGCTTTTAAAAATTGTATGTCATTTTATATAGCATAATCATGAGTTGATTTCCAAATATCTATCTTCAAAGGACTGTTTCTCATCTTAATTGTCTTCAAGAGACACCTAGTGTTTATTTTTTCCTAAATATGTAATAGGTAGCAATTGCTGATAACCAGGATTTATTTTCAGCCTAAATATCTAATAAATAATATAATGCTGGTAACAACTGCTTGACATCACCAAAAATTTGAACAACTTTGAGATTCTTCTACTTTTGTTAAAAATGAATTAAGTCTTCACATTCCACAGCTTTTTAAAATTAATATCCCATGTGATAATATCAAACCTATGTGGTTAAAATAAATTAATAGTTATTCTCTATCTCAGTACAAAATGTATACCACATATGTAAAATCTGGAGGCACTCTATTCAATTCTGGCTTACTTATAACAGATGCAATAAATGAATTTCACTTATACTGCTATCTCTGTAACCTTAGCTCTCTTTCAAAAATAATTCCAATCAGAAAGCCAGTACTCAGTATTTAATACACATATTTTATTAAAACAAATAAACATTTTCTGACATTTTATATTTTACTGATTTTTAATTAAATTATTTTTATTAAATCATTCAGTACTTAAACTGTCTTTATTGGTACATTTTTCCTTAATGGTTGATAATGATAATCCTTTAAATATTTTGTTATTAAAACAGAAATAATGAATATTATAAACTAAGCATGTTAGAAATTTCTGCACTTTAATTCTATTATTACCAAACCTTTTCCTATATACTGCATCCTAAAAATTTTCCCCAAACTTCCCAGTTATTTCTTTTTTCCTTTCAACAATATTTGCCGACAAAGGAATGCGGTTTGATTTGTCACCATATTTTCTACATATTGCTTTAGTCATTTTTCTGTGGCAGAAAAATCAAGTATCCCCAAACAATGTGTGACTTTTTCGTCTTCTTCTGTTAAACAAGAAAACTCAAAGGAAAATTCTTAATTGTTTATTGCCCAATTTATTAAAAATTTGTAAAGTACTGGAATATTTATTTCCTGAAAATTCTATTACAGAAGTTTGTGACGGTATCTTAATCTCACTGGCCCTAATGCCAAATACACATTATGTATCTAGGCAAGGTTTGTTGTTAACAGTAATTTATGTAAATACAGGTATCAAATAGTTTTCCTGATAATGGCAATCATTTTTGGCCAATTTTGTGTCAAACCTAATTTAACTTGGTCATCATTGCTTTTACTTTGTGATGTTGCAGATGAAAAACTTAAAACAATATATAGCATGTCAGCTTCTTTATTATATTGTTTGTCTGTTTCCTACATTATTAGTATTATCTGTAACACATGAATTCTTTTGGAAGAATCTTTTCTACCACTTACCTATTATTGGAAAGTTGTTTTAGGTGAAGCCAGGTAATTCCACTATGTTAAGTCCTTTATCATTTAATCCACACAACTGTTGATGGGGTAAATACTGTATCTTCCTTTAAAGAGGAGGAAGCTACATTTCTGAGCCCAAGATCACATTGGCTGGGAAAAAATAAAGCTAAGATTATTGCCCAGTTCTGATCATAAAGCTGGGCTCTTAAAACTCTACACATGATGCTTCTTTCTTGTGACAGTTTTTGCATGCTGCCTTTTCATTATTGTAATTGTAGTTGGAATTAGACTATATTATCATAGTGTCTCTTAGTAGCTCCCACTATAATCATGCTTTGTGTAATTTTTACTTTGTTTATATATTTATGTTATTTATTTATTTATTTATTTGTCATTTGTATCATTCAAATTATTATAGTATATTGTCTACATTTCTTTATTGTTGCCACAACATTTTGTCTCTTCATTCATTTCTGTCTTTCAAAATGTATTGGTTGAATGGAGTTAAAATTTATCCTGAAATATAATAAATAATTTAAAAGGTATATTTTCTTTACTTTTTAGTTTAATATTTTAAAATGTGTTGCTACAGAATTCGGTTTGCCTGTATAAGTACACAGAATACTGTTTGTCTACATATATGTTACATTCAAACATTATAACTCTCCTGATAAAAGCCAAAATTTGAATATCCTTTTAAACTTTTATCTCTAGTTAAAATGACCCAGGGGTTAGTGATCATATTATATACAGACATGGTATATAATGGCAGCATAATCAGCTAGGATGAAAAATAATGAGGTTTTTGGTAGTGAAAATTATTCCAGCATAGGTGGAACTATTCCAGTTTTCTTTTTCTCTAGGCTCAGTGAATATGATGAACTTAATCTTGTTCAAAGTGTTTGGAACACTCAGACTAGCAATCCATTTTGACCCAAACATTAAATGATTAAAAGTATAAATGATTAAAGATCATTCTTATTGTTTTATTTTGACTCATTAAAATCAATGCCTTGGAGAAAACTAAACAAAAAGTTAATATTGTATCCTCTTGTACAATCTTATATTTAAGCAAGAATTCAATTTTTTAACCCAATAATATTTTTTAAATATATTAA